AAATCTTCAATTAGAGTTCAATATCTGTTTTTGATGACTTTTTTACTTACACTATTTACATTTAATTATCAGTTTCTATATATACAAGATGGTATAGTATGCAGTGGAAAGCAAACTTCAAGGGAATTCATAACAGGAAGAATGACCATCAAATTCAGCCAAGAAGGAGTTTGCTGGTAATAGGCGATAGGCCTTTACACTTGACCCTCTCTTATTCAGTTTTAATGTATATAATCAAATCCTGAGCAGACAAAGCTGGAATGCTAAGATGAGTTGAATAATCAAAATTCCAGAACCGACTAATAAGTTAGAAAACAAGCTGAAGCTAATGATTATATATTTAAAAGAAAAAAAAGGAAGTCTTTCTCTTGGATATGATGATGATAACAACTGTTGAGGCATAAAATGAGGGAGATATTGCTTAAGAGCAGCACTTATTTTACAAAAGACTTTGAGATATTAATTGATCTACTTAAGTCATCTATAATGGTGAGGGAAATAGAAACTAGAATATATGGATGATGAACTAGTAAAGTATGACAAAAAGAGAATTCACTGAAGACAAATGCCACATGGAAGAGGAGGAGTTGGAATTGTTTGGGATGACTCCCAGTAGTCAATGTAGGATTCTGGAAACTTCAGGAAGTCAGGTTCAGATCACTATATAGAACTAACTAATACTCAGATGAAATTCTGCCTCTGCTTTTAACTCCTATATTTACCCACTCTCATAAAAAACCCTAATCTCACATGAGGAAAGTTAATGTGTGAACCACTTCTTGGCAAGCATGTAATAGTGGTGGCTTAAGCATCCTTAATTGGGTGGCCTAAATAATCTTTCAAAACACTCCTATCCCTTATTTAATGATAATATAGAGCAATTTATTAAGGTAACTTAATGTGAAATAAGTTGAAATCAAGACAAGAAAGGTACAGAGAAAGTTACTGATGCGTAAATATGAAATATGATAGTTACTAGAAATAAAATTCTTATTCATAATTGCATTAGTTAAATAGTTAACTTATGTATTTATCATTTAGGGTTTTGCCTTTGATTAGATATTTAAAGAAAGTTTCACATCAAATAGAAAAAAGCTTCTAAAAAGTAAAAGATCAGATTTTTAAAGAAACTCAGAAAGGCCAAATTCATATAAAATATAAGCAAATGAAAAAAAATTACACTCTCAATGACAATCTAACTGCAAACAAAAGGCCACCTTGACATGAATATTTTCAGAAGGAAAGCAGCATCACTGGACCCGTTATCATAGCAATAACCGTCTGACTACCCAAGACAAAATACTAAGAGAGAAGGGCTTAAATAAATGAAAATTTGTCCAATCGAAAAAAAGATTTTTAAGCTACAACCTCAAAAAGAATTCTTTATTGAACATGTTCAGTGCTTTGAATTCTATCAACTAGAATTATTTTTAAGTACTGTCTTCTATAAGCTTTTGAAGTGATAAATTTGCTTTATGATGGAGAATCTGCATTTTATCACAAGGATGGAATATGGTGTCGTTGGCTGAGATACTCTTCTCAGAAGAAGGCTATTTTTGTATTCTATACTTAGCATATTTAAAGACACACATTCCAGGTGAGCAGCTTGCTCCAAAGTGTATTTGAATTTTATTTGTTGATGAGGCTGTATTGCTTCAGTACCCATCTCTTACTGTTTCAACATTCCTCTCACGAACCAATCATTAAAAATTTCAGGAGAGTCTACTGCAGGCAACTGCGTGTGCAAAGAGAATCTTTTATATCAAAGATACTATCAGTTGTCATGGCCAGAGGACGAGTTTGGCACAAATGATGTGGCAGAAGATTGCAAAGGATAGAAAGGGATATAACAACTAAATTCTAACTGATTAAAAAAGAAATAAAAATTTACTTCCAAGATTAACATCACAATAAAATGAAATAATAAAAGAATATAACGACCATTGTGACATCGAAAATATAAGATGCCACATACATGATTTTAGAAAACAATCAAAAATTAATCATAGAAATCAAAGTACACTTGTCTAGTGACTTAGTTCTTTTGATGTTAACTATACTAGATTAACTTCTCATTGGAAAAAAAAAATGGTGATGATATAGTGACTAGGGAATGGCTGATTTGGAAAGAAGAGGTGAAGATCATTTAGAGGTCCCAGAATTTCTTAGCTCCAAATTGCCAATATCCAGACAAACTAGATTCCTTACTGAACTGTGCCCAGATGGCAAAGACAACACTGCTATGTGGTCTTAGCTGCTTTTTGACAGGGGCTGTCACCAGTAGGTGACCCCATCATTCTGAAGGCAGGAAAATTACTAACTGATCCAAGAAAGTGCCAGCAGGACAGCACACCATGGTCCCTGAGAAGTAGGAGGGCAGAACCTTAGGAAAAATGAATTTTCAGTTGGCGCCCATATAAAGGAGGCTGTTATATTTCTTTGCAGATTAAAAAAATTTTTTAAAGCATTTTAGTTTCCACAGTTGTTATGTCAAATAAGAGAAGAAACAAATTTGCTTTGAGAAGAAATAAGATATCATACGTAAGTAGAAAGGCAAATGATGTAAGCCCTTGGCAATAAAATAAACACCAAAATTAGCTATGATGCAGTTCTACGAATACAATCCAGTCTGCAATCAATTACGATAACAGTTTGGAGACATACTCTCTGCCACACAACACCAGTCAGAAGGCAGGAAGGAAACAAAGTAACCCAAACTAATGTAAGGAAGACATTTCAATATGGGCACTGCCTTAACAGAATTAGCAAACACAAGTCCAATTAATTTTCCAAAAACATAATTCTAGTTGTCAAGAAACATACTGCTATTGGCATTTTTTTTTTTTTTCAGGCAAAGTGATGCAACTGGAAAACTGATAGTTCAAAGTTTTTCCACCATCCTTCTCCTCCCCCAAAATAAAATAATCTTACAATGAAATACCAGGGGAAGGCTACTGCATAAAAATGAAATATTATTTCTTCCTGAAAGAAGAATTTAAACCCCTAATATCAATAATCAATTACCTACTTCAACGGAGGAAGTGTTATTAAATATTTAAATAAAGTACATGCACTCTATTGCCATTCCCTCTTAGAAAGATCTCTTCAGTGCTGATACCTTAGTACCTTTGTACCTTGTGTTTTCAAGCTGCTCTATCTAAGCTCTAGAAAAAACTATATTAAATATTAAAAGTAGGAAGTTAACATTAATCATTAAAATGTTAAGGAATTAACATCTGAACTTAAATGTGTATACTTAAAAAGGTAATGAGCTGTTGAAAAAGCAGTATGCAGTTCACTTTTAAAAATCAAGATTCAGAAACATGAGTCTGTTGTCAGAAGTCATAGATTTCAAGGGAAAGTTTCTTTGAAAAGCAAAGTCTGAAATTATAATGTAGAGTTTTACATTACTTGTGTTTGTTTCATCTGAAATCTCTACTCCCTTTATAAACCATCAGTTTTCACTAACAATAACCATATCACTATTTCGTGAAGAATACTTCTTAATTTCTGTAATTAGAACTCACACCAGTAACTGAAAATGGTGAAAAGCTAAAAGAACATGGAGTGATGCCCATGGCTTTCCTTTTAATAATTTGATTTTAAGAAATATGAATGAAGCAAGCAAAACCCTCAAGATTCTCTTCCATGTGTCATCATACACAGGTGAATTGTTTCAGACAGTTTATAACCCAAGCCTCAGTTTCTTCACAATGAGGGAGTTAAGAGTAGATGACCTCAAAAGTTGCATATAATCCAAAAATCTATACAAGGTAAGGTGAGGAGGAGAGTAAAGAAAATCTTCATATAAGAAATTCTTTGAATTAGATGGGACTATGGGACATAAAATGATACTCGCGAAGAGAGTGCTTCTTAGCTCAGGTAGATACATGAAACTAAATGGGCAGCTCCTGTCTGGAGGGGAGATGAGAAGGCAAAAAAGGACAGGAGCTGGTTGAATGGACACAGGAAATCCAGGATAGAAAGGAGGAGTGTGTTGTCACATTACAGGGAGAGCAGCTAGGGTCACATAGCAACATGTGTATAAATTTTTGTATGAAAAACTGACTTTCACTTACAGTGCAATTAAAAAAAACTTTTTGAGAATTCAGGTCTACAAGTTTCTGTAAAAATTAAAGCTGTTATCCTCAGGTAAATCTATTTCATTTTAGAAGGCCATTGTAAACCTACATCTGCTACTCTTTCATTAGTAATTTATAATCAGTCTAACTTTAAATTCTAATGAGAAAAGTCATAGTGTTAGAAGAAAAAGACTAGAAACCAAACCACAAATCCAAGAGATTATCAGTGCTATTTCCCATAAAATAGCTGTTGGAATAGTAAGGGCATCTGGACAATTTTAGCATATGTATTAGGGAGAGAAAAAAAATTTATATTACATATTTTTCCTTTCTATCTAAGATACCACAGAATTTAAAATATAAGTTTCTGATATACTGAGGGAGATGAATGAGGGAGATTCTCCTAGATTCACAAGTAAATCTTCGACGTGTAAGAGAGGCTACCTGAGGACAAAAAAAATACCTTCAGCTGTTCAAGACAAGATAAACCTTTCAAGACCAAATTGTGGATAATGATTTTTCTAATCTCTCATATTGGGTTAGTCCCTTGAACTTGGAAAATCATAGCCAATCACTTAAGGGTAATATAACACTTGGATTGAATAAGCCTTCCAAATGCAATCGCAGAACAAGAGGGCAATCATATAAATTTAAAAACTGCAGTTGGGCACTTCACATGGAGAGTTTGGTATCTTTTCAGCTCCTGCTATCTCCAGAAACACCATGGGATACAGTTTTCCTACACTGTAATTATAGAATGAGGATAAAAGGCAATGCTTGGTGGGCGTGTATGGAGAAGGGTAAAGTCAGTTCCCCCACAGTGCTAGAAATAAATAGGGACAATACTGTGATCCCAACCGCCCATCCTGCAATGCCCTGGCTTTCTCAGTACCTTTCTTTCCCAAATGCAATGCCTACCTTCCGTGTGGACTGCGGAGACATAGGTCCAATTGTAACGCTTGACTATGTCAAGCATCGCCCTTGCCTGCAAAGTGTCAGAAGGGACAACCCTCAGGAAGTATTTGTACAAAGTTTTGTCACTCAGGTCGATGCTTGTAGCGGAATAAGCGATCTGGGGGATGTCGAAGAGCTGGAGCAGGTTCTGCACTTGAATGGCCACGGAGCTGGAGCCCGGGCCAATCACACCCGCGATGGGCTTCTTAGTCCTGCCTGGGGGGAAGGGCTGGCCGTCAGGCAGGCACCGGTTGAACCCATTCTTCTCATCTCTCATGGAAATCAAAGTGTCTCTGATGAACTCAATGCTCTGCTCCAGAGCCACAGAGGAGTGCCAGCAAGAGTCTCGGATCTCACTGCCCAGGGTGATGTTGGGCAGAAGCACCGGGTCCGCGTTGATCTTATCCAACGTGTGGAACATGGCCTCCACCCTCTGGATGCCATACTGCTCCCTGATCTCCCCACACTTCCTCTCCGGCACCTTCTCGGCCGGAGGCTGGTGGTGGACAGAGAAGAGAGCCCCGATGATGACATCTCCGTCCATTCTGGCCACCGAGCGCTGAGACGACGCTCCCGCCAGCAACAGTCTCCTGCCGGGGCTTCTGGGGAAAAGGGACATCTCCAAGAAGATAGCTGGGAAGAAAACCCAGAGGAGCCCGACCATTGTGCCGAGGACGCCGTCCACAACGGCCCGCAGCTTTCCCACGCTGGTCCCGCCTGCCCGCTGTGGGCGCACACCGCGGAGACGTCCAACGCCTCCGTCTCCCGGCTCGGTGCCCCTCGCCAGCACTGCTTGTCCACCGCCTTCGCCGCTGCCACTACCGCCTCATCCCCTCCGCCTCCTCCTCCTGGTCCTCCACGACCGCCCCCAGGCCCTGGAGGCGTTTTGAGGGGAATTTGAGTCCCCTTTCTTCACCAACGCATCAAGGTAAATTGATCGAAGATACAATGGGCATCGTGGTGGCAGCGGTGAGCTGGACGCTGTCGACAAAAGAGGGAGAAAATAAAAGCCCCGTTATCAGAGGAACTGTGTCAAAACTCTGGGGTCAGTAGTGTTAATGGTTTCCCACTCCACTGCATCTCAGCACATCCTGATAACGCTGGAGGGGCAGCTCAGGAGGCAGCTTTGGTCAATGCAGAAGGTGGGTGTCCTGCTCCCAGAGTGCTCGCAGTCCGAGGCAGCGCATAGCCCGCCGACCCGCTCGCTCCTCTAGCTCTGAGTCTCCTACCGCCCCCAAATACCCCACCCCAGTTACTGACTTGGGGTGGGGAGTGGAGGGGAGGAGCTAGGTAGTTCAACCTAAGAGAACTTTCCGGATTGGAAAAGATCAACTTTTCCTTGAAGAAAAATTGAAACTCTTCCAAAATAAAGGTGGAAGCGCTACTTTAAGGTTGAAAGCGAGCGAGGGGTGTACCTATTACTTTAACTTTGAGAGGTTGAACAGACCCTAATATGCCATCCAAGTAGTAAATATAAATTTGCCAGCTTGAGGAAAATCCATATTAGTTACTAAGGCAACGCCTGATAAAGTCCCCTATGCCAGAGTTTGATATGTTTCCCCCCTAAGAAGTCAGGCTTACTGTAGATGTTCAGGGAGAAGGGGTGCAGATAAGGTAAGTTGCCCCCAACCCCCGAGATAGAGGGAAAGTATGGAGGGAGGCTACTGTACTCGCCTAAATCGGGACCTTTTGGCTTTGCATAGTTGACAGAAAGAGAATGAAGAGGAGCTTCGGGGTTTCTCTTGCAGCAGCAGCCCCAGCGCGGCCGCTTTCAGAACCCTGGACAGTGCCAGTCCACCATCCCGACATTCCCGCACAGGGCCTGGAAGGGACGCGTGGACCAGTGAATTGCATTTCTCCGACACCCGCTGCTCTTTCACCACCTACCCCCGTGTTTTTTTACACACCACACACACGCACACACACCACCCTCCACCCTCACCGTCTTCTCGCAGCCTCACAGCCTGTGCTCCAGCAGGTATATTCAAACCCAACCGCTCCGGGGGCAGAGGTGCCAAATTTCAGCTGCCTGCGGGGCTGAAGTTGGCTCCCTCTCTCGTCCCTCCCCTAGTCCCTTTCTCCTCAAGGTGAGAGTCGGACGAGAAAGGGGCTACAAGAGCCAGAGGCAGCGAGAGAAGGGGAGGGGAAGGAGGCAAAAGGAAAAGACAACCAAGGCACCCACGGGTCCCGACGCTTCCCGGGGACGCAGGGCTAAAAGAAATAAGCGAGGATGCACCTGGACCAGGAGCGAAACCCGACAGATTGGGACTATGTCTGCTGCGGTGGGTGGGTTTCATTGCGGGGAGGTGTCCGCTCACCTGGGTCTGTTTGGAGGAGATGGATTTGAGACGTACCTGAATCGGGGTAGACAGCGCTCTGGTCCCGGGGCCAGGGGACCGCGGCCGCGCTCGCTTCTCAGGTGCCTCCGCTCTAATCCAGACCGTGCAAGGATGTGATCTGGGCTGTACACTAGTGCCCTCTTTCTTCAGCACTGTTTTACCGCAAGGGAAAAAGGAAGGAGGGGGAGGGGAAAAACAGGTCACCCGAGGCTTGTCTATTATCTCATGCATGAAAACCAGTCGTTTGATGAAGAGGGGAGGATGAAAAGGCTAGGGAGAAATGGAGAATGTTAATTCCTTTACAACTGAAGGATTCTTAAACTGCTGGGTATACGAATCATTAGAGCTGGTGAAAGCAGAGGGAGCAGCCTAGGTTGCTTTTGGATGGTTATTATTTGTATATATTTCAGGGACTCAAATACATTTTCTCTCACTGTGCAAGTAAAACCCCTACCGAGGGAGGCAGAGTCTAAATTCGTGTGAAGACGTCTAGAGAAAGGCTCTACTAGGAGGTTGCTAGGGACACGGGGAAGAGACTACCCGGGGTGGGAGTGGGGGAATGAGGGACGTGCCCATGGTGAATCAAGGTAAGCCAAATGAAGGGAGGCAAATCTTGGCTGCATTTTCCAGGTCAAGATGTAACTAAATTGAGAATGAGAGTCAGGTCACATGAAAACACTGGAGTGAAAAACACTTACCCACATTCCTCCAGCCTACCACAATCCTCCCCATAGGTCTATCCTGCTGCTTCTTACTGTGTGAAAAGTGCAAGTTCAATTACTTCCTTCTGGGAACTCTCGGCCTAGCAGAATGTGTCCAGACTTCCTCAGAGGGGAAGGACAAGTGCCAGTGTGCTTTTCCACTCTTGCTCAAACCTTTCTATTCATGTCACCCACAGAGCAGAGGAATTAGCTTATGTGGGTCCCTTTATATTTATCTTGCTCATGCCATTATACCATGGAATAGTAGCAAGTCAGGCTAGAGGGGCAAACCACAAGGCAGTTCTAAGTACTCTTCAGTGTGTTCTATGAAATTTAGGAAAGAAAATGCCTCCAGTCAAGAACAAAAACTCTTTCTCTTCTGCTTCTGGTCTTTTTTCCCAAGCGTCAGATGTTTCTGGACTTCTCTTGAACAACTTAAGGAGTACAGGATTTTAAAAAAATGTTTCCATAAATAATGCACAGGTACACATTCTTTAGACTCTTTAGAGCTCAGTTCTGGAGGTAACCATATATTTGTTGTTAGTTGCCGTCCAGTGAGCTCCAACTCACGGCAACCTTATGTATAACAGAATGAAACTTTGCCCAGTCCTGCACCATCTTCATGACTGTTGGTATGTTTGAGTTCATTGTTGCAGCTATTGGGTGCTGCCTTCCAAACTAGGGGGCTCTTCTTCCAGCACTGTATGGAACAAGTAGTTAAGTTCCTGTCTCCACACATAGGGCAAAATGGTTCATTGTCTGCACCCTAGAAAGATGTCTATTGTAAGAAAACCATGCCATAGGTATTTACAGTGTCCCATACTATCCCACTTCCTCTAATATCCATTTAAATTGCAATTTATAAAATACCATTCTAGTAAGATAAGCCCTAAACATGATTTTCCTGGAACATTTCACAGATATAGTGTATGTGCAAAGATTTCTACATATATAAAAACCATTAATTAATTATGATTTCCAGGATTAAAGAAAGTAATGTCTCTGAAGTCCACATTTAGCTTCAATACGTGCTCCTGAAAAGTGAATATTTCTTAATATATCACATTGATATAGTTTAGGAAAAACTCCACTACAGAAGGAATAATTAAACATTCAGATTAATTTGTTCTCAAATTCATTTCACAGTTGGAGTAAAAACTACATATTCAGGTGGCTAGAACAAATCATTTTAAAGAAGATGAACTTGGAACTTATAACTTGCTGGACTTATATAATGTATAAATTATGTTTTAGACATAATAAATAAAATTTCAAATGTATCAATATGAAATTACCAACTTAATTTATTGATAATTATTTACGACTAAGCTTTAGAAGGCACAAGGACAAAAATAAGGCAGGAAGAAGTGAAGAAAGGAGAAGAGAAAATCACCCAAATATACTCTCTCTCTCTAGAAATGAAGACTTTACCAAGAGAAGTATAATACATGTGCAGACATCAAGGAATGGTTCTATTGATAGGCTTGAAGAGAACTACTAAGTGAATGAATTATATACAAATTAATATACTAGCCTATAAGAGTTAACAGAATGCTAAAGGTAAAATAGTCCAAAAGTACTATCAGTATGATTATTTATTCAGTGCTGTAGGGTAGTGTATTACACTCAGTATGTGATGTGTTGTTGCCATTGTTAGTTGCCATCAAGTTGGTTCCAACTCATTGCAACCCCATGTACAATAGAATGAAACACTACCCAGTCCTGTGCCATCTTCATGATTTTTGGTAGGTTCCAGTCCATTGTTGTGGCCACTATGTGTTTTGATTGCATTCCAATCTAGCGGGCTCATCTTCCAGCGCTGTATCAGACAATATTCTGTTGTGAACCATAGGGATTTCATTGGTTAATTTTTGGAAGGAGATTACCAGGTCTTTCTTCCTACTCTGCCTTAGTCTGGGAACTCCACTGAAACCCGTCCAACATAAGTGACCCTACTAGTATCTGAAATACTGGTGGCATAGCTTCCAGCATCATAGCAACATGTAGGCCACCACAGTATGACAGACTGACAGATGGGTGATAGATGTGATGTGTAGCAGGGTAAAAAGTTTTATCAGGATTTTGGGGGGGAAGATGATTTAATACAAAATGTAGTGGAGAGTAAGCAAAGTAATATCTGATGCATTATCTCAAAACAATGATTAAATGTGCTGCTCCAACAATAAGGACAACAACAGGGTACTCATCATCCTCATATGGTAATAAAACAAATATTACTCATAAACAAAACTGAAACCACTCTCCTTAGGAATGTGTGAACAATTCTCATTGCTCTCTATGAAATAGGACGTTATAGAGGAAGTGGTCCAGATTTGAAACAAGTGAGAGGATGTATGTAAAGTTTTCCACATAAAATCAGTTTTCTTAAATGATAAAGGTAAGAAGTGAGAAAGAATATGATCAAAGAAAGAAATGGATAGGTTAAGCATGTATTCCAAATTACAGTTTAATCTTGTGGGTATTTTGAAAAGTAAACTTTACATAGTCACGTGAATATGGAAGTGAAACATACATAAGAGGTAATAAACTCATTACTGAAGAGATAGAACTAACTGAAAATAGAAATGAGATCAGAGAAGTTCTTTGCAGAAAACTGATTTGTGGTAAATTGATATGTAATGTATTACTAAGGGAATATAATAAATGTTCAAGTTAGATCAATGTCATGGAGAGTAAATACCATGCTTTTCCATAAAATACCATGCTCCATGGACAATTGATTTAATATAGTATGACATTTCTTATATTCCTATATTTAATTCATGGGTTCAGCAAGATAATTCACTCCTCAGTGAGATTTTTCAGTTTATTTATCCAATTTGGCTATCTACATTGCT